TGCATAAACCTTGACATGCCTATATAAAGAGGTCAAATAGGTTGTCGTATCATTTACACTTTCACTATTTTACCTTGCAACACATGTGATGCACTGCAACATTCATAGTTCGTCAAGTCCAGGGGTTGAGTAAGCTTTTTGATCCTCAAAGCCGAACTCCCGTTCTTAAACTCACCACTTATACTATAACTATTGAAAAGGTAATCCATAAATAGAAAGGAAACAACCTCCCGCTTCCCTTGGAATAGACTGAAAATGGATTAGGCATTAGTACCAATTTCCAATTATAATTGACTGAAATCGAAAGAAATACTTTTGGCTCTGTTTGCCTTTAAAAATCACAAAGCTAACATTCTATGTGGATGTGAACACGTAATTAAGCTGATGAAAAATGTCCCTCTCTTCATGCTTTTCAATTCTTTCCTGGATTTTCTGCTCATGTTCTCATAGACGTCATGAGATATTGACGGTTGATTTTTCAAATTGACCGCAGAAGATTTTAAGGGTTACTGTGCTATTGTAAAAACATTGTTAGTGCTTTGAATAAAGGTATACATGTATTTCAGCAGTTATTTTTAAGGACGATAGAACGGTAAAGTTTAATGATTCTCCGTCGTTCTTATCCTTAGATAGAGTTCCTTGTGCTGACTGATTCTCTCCACTCCTCAACAAGAAAGAAAGACTAGATAGAAGGAAATGAAAGTTAATATTTATTGTTTGATCATGTGCAAAGGAAAGACTGTCAAATTCGGTATGCGTTAAGTTGTTCATTATATTTTATTATCAAATCTTGCGGATCCAAGTTGAAGCGACTATTTAATATGGGACATATATCAGTGGTTTGGAAGGCTGGCTTCAAGTCTGCTTTCTCTATGTTAAATTTTTCTGCTTAAAATAGTTTGAATTATATTGCAACAAGTTAGCCCAAAACAACAATGCAAGTATTTTTTTTTTCTAAAAAGAATAAGATGGCTAATCAATTTGAGCTCTTGCATTGTTTATCTCAAAGCTGAACTTTCACAACTTTCGAAGATGCTAATTCGATTTTATCAGCACAAAGACATCCAAAGCTCCTTCTAAATACTAAAATTAACTTCTGCAGGCGAGAAAAAGGATTTAGCGTACGATCATACCAGCGTTTTAGGCCTCAATGACACATAACACATCTTATATAGCGACTTTAATGTGCTCCCTTCTCAGTACTATATGCAATCCTTCGTAAGAATTGCTGTCCTTTCAAAAAAAAAAACTGCAAGTTAGAATTCAGCTAAATAAAATTGCGAAAAACTTGCATCTCTTTGTCTGATGCTTTTAGCCTACCTCACAATTATATTTACACGCATTCAGAGCTTCACATGCCACGTGACATTGAATCCTCAAAGAAAAAAAAAGTGAATTGAAAACTTGTCCATTCCAGCTTACTTTTCAAACAAAAGCTATCATGGAGAAGAAGCCTTTTTATGGGCATTTTTTTCCTAAATAGAACTCTAGGAGTAATATACACTCTCGACCTCAACGACCTTGAATATCATTAAACGTGATGCGTAACACTTAAGTGACATTTTCTAAGCAGACATTCTCATCTAGCACATTTACAACTAATCTCCATTACTGAACTACACGCTCTCTCTTCACCTATCACATACTCAACCTACTTGAGATCGAATCTCAATATAATTAACAAAGTTGGCGAATAATAACGTTGGCGAGGGAGCGGAGAAGGAGGAAGGGAGGAAAAAGGGGGATGAGAATGAAGAATCAATTTCTTGCCTTTCCATTTCTTTCTTTTTCACTGTAAGTTTCCTCTCTCCTTTGCAATCCTTATATCTTGATATGTAATAGATACTCGAATATAAACTTATCCTATTCCTAGAGTTCAAATTGCACGATGTCAATTTTACAGAAGGTTCCGTAGCTGTTTCCTACATATTTTTCTGCGTTTGAAATTACTTGGACATGAAAGTGGCAATTCTCTATCTTTTTCTTCTCCTTTCTGGATCTCATGCCTTTCTTTGGAATCTTCTTGGGGGACTATCACCATGCCTTAGCGGATCACCATCATGCCTGAGCAGCCCATCACCATGCCTATCATCACCATGCATGAGCGGAAAATCGCAGTGTTATTGCCCGTGAGTGCACTGTATCAGAATTTGATTTTAAAGCCTTACTTTATGGAGAATACGATTCTCATTGCTTTAGTGCTCCACCTCCACCACCACGATGTGTATGTCCAGCTCCACCTCCACCACCACCATGTGTGTGTCCAGCTCCACCTGCACCGCCACCATGTGTGTGTCCAGCTCCACCACCATGTCCTGCCCCAGCTCCTGCTCCATCGTACCCTGCCCCTTC